CATCACTAATAGACACAGCATACATGGCAGAGAGAATAGCATCAAAGTCAAGATCATAGATGGCAACACCCGCCCTGGACAGGTCACCCCAACGAGGGATCTCTGAGGCGTCCGGGAACTGGTGACGCCACGCGTCCGTCAGGCGGCCAAAGCAGCGCTGAGTGGGGTGGGGACCCCCACACTGCTCACCCGCACGGTCGCCGGTGCGCAAAACGTAGGAGCACGGACCAAAACCCCCACCTCGCTGACGCGCAGTGTACCACTCACGAAGCTGCTGAGGGGACAAGGTGTCACGACCACGCTGCTGCTGCTGGCGCGAGCCACCACCGGAGCCACTCCTCTGCGAAGACCCGCGACCAGCACCACCTCCACCCCCGCCGCCTCCTCCGCCTCCGCCGCCTCCGCTACTGCCGCCGCCTCCACCTCCGCCTCCGCCGCCGCCACCTCCGCCACCCCCGCTCCCACTGCCACCGCCGCCGACACCTCCGCCTCCACTGCCGCCACCGACTCCTCCACCCCCACCTCCACTCCCACCGCCACCCCCACTCCCCCCACTGCCGCCACCTCCACCTCCACCGCCCCCGCTCGCTCCTCCAGCGCCCTTGCCCCCCTTGCCCTTGCCAGAGCGGCGTCTCCCACTAGGGGCAGACGCCACACCGACCGACTCAAGACCAAGGAGGTCGGCCGCAGCAGCAGAGGCAACAGAGGGCAGAAGGGGGGAGGGGGAACACCCCTCAAAGATGGGGGTGCGCGGGTCACCACGAGAGGCCCCTACAGCGACTATGCTCTTCTCGGCCGCTAGGAGGGACTTCTCGAGGAGGTCAACAGTGAGAGTGGTGGGACAGACAGAGAGAAAGTGGTCCCTGACTACGCGAAGGGAGTCAGGAAGGCGAGTGACTATGTAGTAAAGAGTGATGTACATGGGGGGGGGGGTTCTTGGCGCAGAAGTCAGCAGGGAGTGCAGCGCGGTAGCGAGTGTCACTAGTGCGGAGGTGCGTAATGAGGTCAGCGACTGTGGGAAAGGCAGCAAGGTCAGGAAAGAGGTACGGTAGCATGAGACGGCTCAGTGCAGCAGTGGCAGGGGAGGAGTAGCGCGCAACTACAGCGTCGTACAAGGTCTGAGCACTCTTGTACTGACTAAAGTGTGCACGCTCGGAGGTAGGGAGGTGGCGACGCACAGCAAGACGTGCAGCAGCGTCGCGCGTGGCCCACTGGGAGCGAACAGTGGCGTCGGCGTCAGCAGCAGGGGCAGTGGAGGCGCCAGAGGTGAGGTCAAAGAGAGAGAGACCATCTGCCCTATCGCACTGTAAGAACAGCTGCAGGTCATCCACCCAGACCTCAAAGTCAATGGCCCGACCCTCAGCGTCAAAGACTAGAACACTAGGGGTAGCCATGACCCTAGACGACTGGCAGCACAAACAGTAGGGTGAGGGCAGTGCAGTGAAAGGGCGCTGTGCTCACCAGACTGGACAGGTCGGGCGGCCCGGAAGGAGGGCGGCGCGGCGGCTCGGCGGCTCGGCTGCCGGGCGGCTCGGCGGCTCGGCGGCTCCGCTGCTGGGCGGCACGGCTGCTGGGCGGCTCGGCTGCTGGGCGGCTCGGCTGTTGAGCGGCTCGGCTGCTGGGCGGCTCGGCTGCTCTGCTGTCGGGCGGCTCGGTTGTGCTGCTGAGGGGCAGCACGGCTCGGGCTGCTCGGGCGGTGCGGGCGGCTCGGGCGGCTCGGGCGGCTCAGCTCCTCAGCGGCACAGGCGGCGTGGGGACCGAGACGGCGGCGCGCGGCTGGGACGGGCGGCGCACGGGCGGCGTGGGGCCGGGACTGCGGTGCGCGGCCGGGACGGGCGGCTCACGGGCGGCGTGGGGCCGGGACGGGCGGCGCGCGGGCGTCGAGGGGCCGGGACGGGCGGCGCGCGGGCGTCGAGGGGCCGGGACGGGGGGCGCGCGGGCGTCTAGGGGTCGGGCCGGGTGGCGCGCGGGCGTCTAGGGGCCGGGACGGGCGGCGCGTGGGCGTCGAGGGGCCGGGACGGGCGGCGCGCGGGCGTCTAGGGGCCGGGACGGGCGGCGCGCGGGCGTCTAGGGGCCGGGACGGGCGGCTCACGGGCGGCGAGGGGCCGGGACGGGCGGCGCGCGGGCGTCGAGGGGCCGGGACGGGCGGCGCGCGGGCGTCTAGGGGCCGGGACGGGCGGCGCGCGGGCGTCTAGGGGCCGGGACGGGCGGCTCACGGGCGGCGAGGGGCCGGGACGGGCGGCGCGCGGGCGTCGAGGGGCCGGGACGGGCGGCGCGCGGGCGTCGAGGGGCCGGGACGGGCGGCGCGCGGGCGTCTAGGGGCCGGGACGGGCGGCGCGCGGGCGTCTAGGGGCCGGGACGGGCGGCGCGCGGGCGTCTAGGGGCCGGGACGGGCGGCGCGCGGGCGTCTAGGGGCCGGGACGGGCGGCGCGCGGGCGTCTAGGGGCCGGGACGGGCGGCGCGCGGGCGTCTAGGGGCCGGGCCGGGTGGCGCACGGGCGTCTAGGGGCCGGGACGGGCGGCGCGCGGGCGTCTAAGGGGCCGGGACGGGCGGCGCGCGGGCGTCTAAGGGCCGTGACGGGCGGCTAAAGGGGCCACTAGGGGCCAAGAGAGAGGGGAGCGCGACTCGGGTAGGGGCAGAGTGCGCTCCGGGCAGGAAAAAAACGGTGGGCCCTAGGAACAGTTCCCACGAGGGAACCTGCTCGATACCATGAGAAGAATGAAGAACGAGGATGAATGAACTATGAATGAGGTGAGTACATATGGAAAACCCTAATTGGGTTGTACCCCCTATGGGATACCCCACTATAGCCTACACAACAGCATAAGCTATATAATGTTCTGACACTTATTTGGCCGGGTGTGGTCGATTGCGTGAACCGTCACAATCACTCGGTGAGGGTCGGTTGGGTCGGGCGAGCGGCGTGACCTGTCAGTAGAGGGCCCGTCTGCTACTGACTCCCAGCGTTTCCCTGCTGCTTGGTCTGTTTCTTCTGCTCAGCTTCCCCCTTTCCCTTAGCGTTTTCCGGGCATTCGCTCTTACGGTGTCCCGGCCGATTGCACGCGAAGCAGCGCCCTTTGAACGGTGCGGCAGCGGCATTCGCGGCGACATCATGTATCGTAGCGCCCTCGTTCGTCCCACGAGACCGATGTCCCCAGTTGTTGCTTCCGTAGGACCCCGGTCTCGGTCGGCGGAAGAAATCGAGCTTCTCCGCCATGGCGAGAATCTCCTGGAAATCGGTGACGCCGCGAAGCTGGATTTCCTGAGCGATGTCGTGCTTCAGGCCGCCGATGTAGCGGTCGATGCGCTCGCTCTCGTGCATATAACCCACTTGCTCGCATAGCGCCAGAAACCCGCTCGTGTAGTCCTGGACGGAACCGAGTTGGCGCCAAGTGCGGAGCTTCTGTCGCGCCGCGATCGAAGCCGCGATTGGCTCAAACCGAGCGCGCAGACCTGCGCACCACGCGTCCCACGTGCGATATTGGGGCACCTCCACGAAATACGACGGCGCCCAGGGTCCGGTTTGTCCTTCCCGTGTCGGTAGAGTCGCGTAGTCCACCGGCTTCGTGACGATGACACGCCACTAGTCCATGGCGGGTCCTCGCAGCAACGACACGGCGTAGCGGATTTTCGCCGTATCCTCCGAGACGTAGTTGGCGTCGAAGAAAACGTTCAACGTGAACAACCACGCCTGAACGGTATGACCACCCCGTTGACTCGGGTCAAAGCATGGCGGACGTTGCGGCTTCAGTGGCATTGGCGACGGTAGTGCTGAATCGCCGGCCGGCACAGAAATCGTGACGCGAGGTTGACTTCTGGCCGCATTCGTCGCTTCGGGGTGTGTCGTGACGTGGTCGTCGTCTCCGTCGTGGCGGACGACGCCATCACTAGCCGCGCTCGCGGGTTGCCCTACGCTCCCATGTTGCGATGTCTGTGGTGCGGGCTGTATCGGAGTGCCAGGTGCTTGAGATTGTGCTCGTGCGACGTCATTTTGCAGGGACGTGCGTTCTGTCGTCAGCGCCGCGATTTCTTCAGAGCTTTCGCGAAGTTGCTGCAGCAGTTCGTTCAGACGGTCCTGCGTGAGGGTGGTGACGTCGATATGTTCAGCCATTCCGAAGGGCGTCGGCTCGTCTTAGCTCTAGGCGCAGTCGTGGCTGCACGCGTTTACGAGAGAACGCGAGGACAGCGGCTCCTAGGGGCTAAGGTGCGTGAGTCCCTTCGAGTGAAAAAATCAAAAGTTGATTTTCTGGGGTGCGGAGATGCGCGGTCCGAAAGAAAGAGGCTCTGATAACCAAGTGTTACGGGTGCAATGAATCGAGGTAGTGAGGATTGCACTAAGGTGTCAAAACAAGTACAAAATGTGAGCGAAGGCATGAGCGAACATTTATACGCGAAACATGCAAACGGTAACGCGGCGCGTGCGAGCTAGCTAGTGCTACGCTGGTGCGAGGTTCGTGCTAGTCCCGAAGAGTAGGCCGACTCGGCTGCTCCAGCAGTGCGAGGTTTGGTGAAAACAATGCGCGCGATGTTGGGGAAGCCCCGTTAGCAGTAACGGGCGAACAACTGTTGTTGCTGTACGCGATGTTGCGGGCTGCGCTAAGGAATGTCGAGAAAATTCCTTACAGGAGCAAACAGGTGCTTGAGGTAGGTCATTCGTGCAGCACTTCGCTTCTCTTCGCAGCACTCGACATTGACGATCAGAATCTAGTTTCGCTTCTCTAGCTAGCTATGTATGATATGTACTAGTAATCGAGGCTCCGTGAAGCAACACTATGGTTCTCAATTGCTCCTTATCGCGCTTCCTGTGCTTCGCAAACCAAGTCGACACCTTCACGCGGCAATCTCCAATTCGATCATGATTGCCGCCGTGGCCCGACACCCCCCGCCGTAATCACACCTCGCTACTAGAGACACTAGTACAAGTCACCCGCGCCTGTCCTCACCCTAACGCGCCGTTCCCCTTTCGACGACCCCCCCTCCGCGCGCGCGCGCCCCGGCCAATGGCGATCGCGCGGAGCCACGTCGTGTCACGCCCAGCCGCGGGAGCGCGGTACGGGTCGTCGCCGGACCTGCTGGCAACGTCGCTGCAGCAGTCGTTCCGGTACGCGCGGCTGTGGACGGCGTTCCAGCAGTTCTTCGGCTTCTTTGCCTTCCTCCTCACGCTCTGGTTCGTCACCTCGCGCCCCTGGCACTCCGCCGACTCCCGCGCCGCAAACTCCGCCGCAAACGCCGGCGCGACCTCCCGTCTCGGCGGAAGCTCCGGAAGCGGCTTCACCGGCGGGAGCAGCGCCGGCGGCGGCGGCGGAAAACTGACGGGTCCGGCGGCATACGTAGTGGTGGTGTGCGACGAGTCACAGTTAAAGTCCGCCATGGTCCTCGTGCACTCGATCCGATCCACCAAGACGGAGCATGATATCGTCGTGCTCGCGCGCAACCTCTCCGGCACGCCGCGCCACATCTTCCGCGCGCTCGGCGCCACCGTCAACCCGCTTCCGCGCGGCGTCCCCGCGTCCGTGCTCGCGCTGCTCGACGACCCCTTCCGCCCCGTCGCCGCCTCCGCCCTCGGCAACCAATCTTCCGCGCACGCCGCCGCCGCGGGAGGGGCCTCCGCCGACCCTTTCTCCGCATCCTTCTCCGCGAACCCCGCGGCGGAGTTCTCCCCACCCTTCCCCCCGACCACCTTCGCGGACCCTTTCTCCTTCAGCTCCGTCTACTCCCCGCCGCCGCACCCCGCCGCGCTCGCCGAGTGCCTGCCCTTCAAATTCTCCATGTGGCTGCTCCGTCAATACTCCAAGGTCGTCTATCTCGACCCGCGCATGCTCGTTCTCGAGAACATTGACGACGTGCTGGCTCGGCCCGAGCCTACCGCAGCTCCGGATAACTCCCTGCCTGACCGGTTCAACCCGAGCCTGCTGGTGCTGGAGCCGAGCGTGGCGACGTACCGCCAGCTGGTGGCGGAATACGCCGCCATCGCGTTCGGCGATGCGGACAGCGACAGTGACAGCGCGCGACGCACCCTTGCAGCAACAGACTCCGACCAGGCGCAGACGCAGCAGGAGGGGCAGCCTCAGCAGCAGCAGCAGCAGTGGGGGTTGCAGCGGCGCCTGCGGCGGGGACCAGTGCTGCCAGTGGGGTCGGAAGATCTGATTTTCTTCAACCATTTCTTCTCGGACTGGCCGCAGCTGGGCGCGCAGCACCACCTGGACTACGGGTGCAACGCGCCGTCCCGCCTGGGGTACTCCGCCACGTGGAACGAGTGGGTGCACCCCAAGCTCAAGGTCGTACGCTTCGCAGGCGGCTTCGAGCGCTGGGACGAGCTGACGGACAAGCTGTACCCGCCCACGCGGCGCTACGACCACCTGCGCTGGGAGCTGCTGCGGGACATGTCGGGGCTGCTGGTGCAGCACGGGGTCATAGCGCCGGGGGACGCACTGCCCAGCCCGCTGTGCCAGACGGACTTCATGCAGTATGCGCGCGGGGCGCCCGTGCCGCGGAAGCTGTCGGTGGTGATCCTCACGGGCGGGGATCTGACGACGCTGCAGACGCTCATATTCCACTTTGCCGCCATGCGGTTCGTGCACATGATCTACGTCATGGCCAAGCCCAGCGACGCCCCGGGAGGGCGGAGTGCTGCTGCTGCCGCCGGTGTGGGGGGGGAGTCGTCGGGAGGATTCAACCTTGGCGGCAGCAGCGGGGGGAACACAGGGAGCAGCAGCAGTGGTGGCAGTGCGTGGGCGCAGGGGCACACGCAGAGCATCCTAGCAGCGGCCATCGAGTCATGGAACGCCAGCAAGCCCGTGGAGCTGCTCCCGCCGCTCCGCCGCTACTCCATGTCGGCGCGCATGCGCCCCATCGCGTCCCTCCCCACGGACAGCGTGCTCATGTGCGACGACTCCGTGATGGTGGGCGCGTCCGTGCTCTCCTCCGCGTTCAAGTTCTGGCAGGAGCAGCCGCAGCGCCTCGTGGGGTTCTTCCCGTCGGCGCACTACAGGGATCCGCACACGAGCGAGCTGGTGTTCGTGGCTGACCCAAGAGAGGAGTACTCCATGGTGGGGGCGCGCCTGCTGCTGCTGCACGCCGACTATCTTCAATCGTACACGTGCACGCTGCCGCAGGTGAGACCGTGAGGGGGGTGGGAGGAGTGGGGGGAGAGGGAGGTGGGAGTAAAGGGGGAGGTGGGTGGGGAGAGAGGGCGGGGGGGGGGTGGGTTGCCTCATTGAGCGCAGGGGTGGGGGCAAACTGCTTCATGCGGACCATTTTCAGTCGTACACGACACGTGCACGCTGCCCCAGGTGAGGGGGGTGGGAGGAGTGTGGGGAGGGGAGGATTGAGGGAGGGGGGGATGAGAGAGGGAAGGGGGGAGGGGTGGTTGGGGTGCCACATAAAGCTCGAGATGAGTATTCGATGGGGGGGGCGTGGCTGTTGTTGCTGCATGCGGACTAAACTGCAGTCGTACACATGCACGCTGCCCCAGATAACAGGGAAGGGGATGGGGATGGTAGGTTTGGGGGGAAGAGGGGGGTGGGGGCAGCTAGCATGAAGGTTACACGTGCACGTTGCCCCAGGTAGGGAGGAGGGGGTTCCACGGTGGTTGTGATGGGTTCAAGTGTTTGCGGCAGACCCCAGGGTGGAATGAGTTGTCAATGGAAGGAGTGGAGTTCGCCACGAGCACTGTATTGCTCTATGATGGGCTGCATTTGAGGCACTTACAGTGTGGGGGAGGAAGGGGAGCGAGGGACGGGGGTGTGAGAGAGGAAGGGAGGGAGAAGGTAGGTGCGTGGAGGGGAGGAGAGGGAGGTTTTGTTTGCCCTTGCCCCCCTTTCCTCCCCCTCACCTGGGTCTTCCACTCCCCCCTTGTGCTGCCATGACACGGCAGTCAGTGCGTCACTACATCGAGATCGACATGCCCCCTCACTGCGCCCTGTGCCTGCACTGCACCCTCACCTCTGCCGCTCTTCCCCCCACAAGCTTCCCCTGTCCCCTGCCCCCTCACACGCCAGCAAGTGCGGGACTACATAGGGATGTCTCCGCAGTGCGCCCACGCATCCTTCAACTTCCTCACCATGGTTTTTTACTCAACCAAAACGATCCTTTCCACTTACCCTCCCTCCACCCCCCCTCTTATCCACTCGTCACGCCAGCAAGTACGAGACTACATAGAGATGTCACCCCAGTGCGCCGACACCGCTCTCAACTTCCTCGCCTCCGAGCTCACGGACGCGGCGCCCCTCCTCGTGGTGGACCCCGACAAGCGCGTGACGGAGGACCTGGCGTCGTCGTTTGAGGACCACACGCGCGTGGGGTCGGCGTGCCTCAACGACCTGGAGGCGTTCTTTGGCGACATGCCGCTGCGCAACTCCACGCTCGCCAAGTTCCACCTGGAGCAGGACACCTTCACCAAGATGCAGTTCAATAAGGCCGGAGGCGGGGGAGGCGGGGGAGGAGGGGGCGCAGGGGGAGGGGAGGGGGAGAAGGACGGGGGGCTGCAGTGGGAGGCGCTGTTTGATGCCACCAAGATGTCGTCCAGTGATGAGAACTTCCGCTTCATGCCCTCCCTCAGACGGGTAACTTTTGAATTATGCAATTCAGTCCCCCCACCCCTCTCCGCCCAGCTGTACTGCCTTCCCCTTCCTGCATCGCGGCTCTGCGTCAACCTCGTACCCCTCTCAGCAGAAAATGTGTCGTGTGCCATTGTAACGAGGTGACTTTTGAGTCGACTTTTGAGTCGACTCAAAAGTCCCCTTCCTGCATCGCGGCTCTGCGCCAACCTCGTACCCCTCTCATCATTCCCTCTCACCTGCTCCTCACCCTCCCCTTGCGCCTCGTCTCGTCGGTCCCTCTCATCACGCCATCACGCCCTCCCTCCACTCTGACCTCGGTGGTGCATCAAGCTTTTCTCTTCACTGCTCATACTTCCTCCTTGCCCCTCTCCCCCCTTACTCCTGCCCCACTTCCCCCCAACACCCCCCCCCTTACTGCTCCCTCCCCCACCCCCCAGGTAACCAACATGCCAGAGGTGCACGTCTTCCCCTCCCCGCAGCACCCCAAGCAGATCCTCTGCATCCTGGGGAACCTCTCCACACCGCTCTGCTTCTCCGGGGGCGCGTGCAACAACTCGTTCGCCATCGCCACCTTCGACTCCATCCCGCCATCCGCCCTCATGCTGCTGGGCACGTCGCTGCTGCTGCACTCGCGCTACGGCTTTGACGACCGCTTCCACACGCCCAACATCCTGGCCAACCTCTTCTACCCCTACCCCGACTACTCCTTCATGCGCCCCGCCCGCGCCTTCTTCTACCGCCGCGGCGGGCTCGACATGCGCCTGTCGCCGTGGTCGCGCCTGCTATTCAAGGCCATTCTCGGGGCGCACATCGCGCCGTTCCGCGTGCGCAACGGCACGCGCCCCGTGTGCTTTGAGCGCGCCGTGATGACGCGGCGGTACCGCCCGGCAGCGCAGGAGAGGAGCATCGTGCTGCAGGACGTGCAGGAGCGCGCCTGGGCCTACTGCTCCCTCGCCGCCTCCTCCATCCCTTCTCCCTCTGCTACCGACGCTGCTGCCACCACCGCTGCTGCTGCTGCTGCCGCTGTGAACAGCACCGCAGGGGCAGGGGCGGGGGCGGCCCAGCAGCATCCGATGGCGGGGGTGCCGCCGGGGCTGCGGGGGTTTGTGAGTTCCGACGCCCACACGATTCGCGTGCTGGTGCTGTATGGGGACGCGGACAGTGGGGGGTACGGCATGATGGAGAACCTGCAGGCCGTGCTCAAGGGGCTGAGGGACCGCTGCCACAAGGCCACTGCTTGTGAACTGGTGGCCGTGAGGGAGGCCAATTTCACCAACTTCTGTGCGCAGGTGAGGCAAGGAGAAGGGAAAGGGGTGAAGTGGGGGAGGCTGAGGGACCGCTGTCACAAGGCCACTGCGTGCGAACTGGTTGCTGTCAGGGAGGCCAATTCTACTAACTTTTGTGCGCATGTGAGACGAGATGAGGAGGGGCGGATGGAAAGTGCAGGGGTGGGTGGGTAAAGGCTAAGGGGCTCAAAGGGCTGAGGGGCCGCTGTCACAAGCCACTGCGTGCAAGCTGGTGGCTGTGAGGGAAGCAAATCTCACAAACTTCTGTGCATAAGTGGGACAAGGAGGAGGGGTCGGGGGGGAGTGCAGGGGGTGGTGGGTAGGGGCTGAGGGGACTGATTGGGATGAAGGGGCTCAAAGCGCTCAAGAAGGCGATGGGGGTCAAAGGACTGAGGGCCAGTCGTCGTCACAAGGAGAGCCACTGTGTGCGAACTGGTGGGCGTCAGGGAAGCCAATTCTGAACACTTCTGTGCGCACGTGAGGCAAGGAGGAGGGGTGGGTGGGGAGTGCAGGGGGTGTGGGTAGGGGCTGTCGCTGAAGGGGTTGACGGGGTTGAGGGAGTGCTGCTACAAGGCCACTCCGTGCACCATGAGCCATATGATGCACATGCGCTCCCTCACTCACTTCCCAACCGCCCCGCCTTTTCCCCTTTCCCACCCTGCTATTCGCGGCCTCATCCCCCCGTGGCTCCACACCCTCCGCTGCCTGGCAGGTGCTATTTATGGGGGCAGCATCGATGCTGGTGACAGTGAGTGGAGACGGCACCATGAACCATGTCATGTGGATGCGTCCCGGCAGTGCTGTCTTGGAGCTCGTGCCCTTCGGCATCCCCGAGTACGACCCACGCGTGCTGCGCGTGTATGAAGAGGCCTCCAGGTGAGTACTGCGCTTTATCTGTGAGGAGGCTTGCCCTTGCCCGAACCTTTGCCCCTTGCCCTTTTCCTTCCACTGCCGCTGTGTCTGCCGCTGCTACTGCCACTGCGCCACTGCCACTGCCACTGCCACTGCCACTGCCACTGCCACTGCCACTGCCACTGCCACTGCCACTGCCACTGCCACTGCCACTGCCGCTGCCACTGCCACTGCCACTGCCACTGCCGCTGCCACTGCCACTGCCACTGCTGCGTCGCCACACTGCTCCCTCCCCTTGCAAGCACATCCCCATTCTTTACAAGCAAATCCCCGCCCCTGACAAGTACTTTCCTCATCCCCGTCCCCTCCACTCCCATGCCAACCTCTGCCCTCCTTGCCACGACACGCAATGCCACATGGCGGTGGGTGCACGCTGTCTGCTGCATGCAGGTGGGTGAGGGTGGAGCACGACAAGGTGTTTGAGCTCATGGGCCCCGAGTGTCCGCGCAAGAACGCCTCGTGCCGCTTCATGTACCGCCGCCGCGCCATCGTGGCCAACGTGACAGCTGTCATGGCGTGGTTCGACGCCACGTACTCGCGCATGCGCACCGAGGGGAAGGAGGGCACGCTGGGCGGCAGATATGGTGGACGGATTTGATGTGATTTTATTTCAGTAGACTTGTGGCAGTCGGGCATGCGTAATTTATATGAGTATATAAAACCCAGAGTGATTCCAATATTCCGAAGAAAGTGTTATTGTACAGTACTAGGAATTGTTTATTTAGCTGTTGCCTTGCCCATGGCTTGTTATACAGTGTGTTACAACCCACGGCTACAGCACGCCCACCCTTTCCAGCCTCCACCGTGTTCGCGTTTTGGCGTCATCCCCGAGGCAGATTACCCCGCGGAAGCCCTCGCCCGCATCGATGCTCTGCGCGCATGCTCGGAGCGGGTCTTCAGTCACCACATGACACGTCATTCCGAGATCATGGACGGCCACGACCGGTCGGGTCGGAGCGTCGTGACGGCAGCAGCAGCGCGCCCAAGTTGGCGCCGAGCAGGCGTCGTTGCTCTCCGCTCTCGCTCCTTGTGTGTCGGCCTCTCCCGCCGCGAGGTGAATCCACCACCTTTCCGCTTCCTCCCTGCGCTCCTTCACCAACCATTCACCACTCTCCTCCATCTCATCCCTCGCCCATCACTCGCCCCCTCGCCCTCTTGGATTCGCGCGTGAGTCGTTGCCGCCGTCAACAGCCTTGCCCGCACACTCCTGCGTCGCGTGGTCCGTTGGCCATTCGCGGCTCTCGCTTCCTCCTTGTCCAGCGATCCTCATCGCCACACATCCATGTGAGCACGCCCCACCTCACCGCCTGCTATCAACATTTCCCACGTTGCGCCGCCAGTTTGCGGGGGGAGTGACAGAGAAGCCTTCTGGCATCGCTTTGACTCACCTTCTGGTTTCTCTACTCTCGTTGTTTCCCGGATCTTTGTGTTCGCTGCATTCTTGGGTGTTGGTGTTGTGTCTCAACAATTCCCCTATCTGCCGTCGAGTTCTCTCATGTTCTTTCATGTGCTGCCATGTGCTGCCATGTGCTGCCATGTGCTGCCATGTGCTGCCATGTGCTGCCATGTGCTGCCCTGCCATGTGCCATGGGCAGTGAGATTGGCAGTTCAGGAGTGGGGGTAGTGACTGAAGCACCTGGGGTGCTAGAAGGGCAGGGAGCACCATGGCAGGGATTGGAAGGGTTGGTGAGAGCGCTAGCAGAGCAGGTGGAGGGGGCAAGGAGGGAGGTGGCGGCAGTGAGGGGCGAGTTGGCCGAGTTGGTGGAGCACAAGGAGCGACTGCCAGGGCTGCAAGAAGCTCTCGCACCCACTCACCTTGCCACCCAGCGGTTTTGGGAGGTTAGTCCTACTGTTTCCTGTTGTTCGTTTGGAACCAACACCCCGTAATTCTCCCAATCTGATCTCTACAAGAAAAGCATTTGTCTATGCTATGGGTGTGTGCGAATCCAGTAACCTTTTTGTCTGCCTTGCTGTGTCTTTTCGCACCACTGGTTTCATCAGGCGCTTCTGTCAGTGTGGTGTGGGGACGCATCGAAGAGCACCCATGTGGAGCTGCAGAACGTGCCTACTCTCTCCACCACCGCGCTGCGCCTGCTCTCCACCATCTCCCACCTCAAACACGTCGATTTGGACGGGTCAGCAGGCTTCAGTGCGGAGGGCGTGCGTCTCCTTTACAAGCTTCCTCGCTTAGAGGACCTCAGCGTGCGAGACACGGCTGTTTCAGACGATGCTCTTATTGGCATTGGGGAAGCGAGGAGTCTTGCGCGCCTCTATTTGAGTCGCACCCAGGTGACTGATGCTGGGTTGCTGCACGTTGCTTCTGTTTCCTCGCTCAACACCCTGTCGTTGCTTGGGTGCCAGGGTGTGACAAGCACGGGTATGGTGCATGTGGGGCGGCTGGGCGGCCTGGAGTGGCTGTATCTGCAGGGCACGGGGGTGGACGATGCCGGGCTGCACCATCTGGCTTACCTCACCAAGTTACTCGTTCTCTACCTGCCCCGTGGGGAGTGTGTTGATCACAAGAAGCTCTGTAGGCAGCTGGGCAGGTAGGTGGACGGAAGGAGCATGGAGGGAAAGCAGTGCAAAGGGAATTTGGCTCTGATACGAGTAGCTTACCATTCATGGTACCGTAAATGTTGGGTTTTTTTTTTTTTCCCTGCTATAAAAAAAAAACAACTGATGGCCGCGTACGCTGCTGAAGTTGATTTGTTCGTTGCCTTCGGTAATGTCTTGATACCGAATAGCATAGGTAAAAAAAAAATAAACGGAGAAATGAACCACCATTCCTCCATATCGCACTTTGCAAATAAATTCTAGAATACCGTGATGCTAAACACGCTGAAGGAAGATCGACAGCATCAAGGTGCTGTTGCCCGAATATTGCCTGAAGGATGAAACCCTTTTGAAGCTTGTTCAAAGGAGTGGGTTGGGAGCAATATCCTTGGAAGGGATGTCCCCAAACGAGTACAAAACACTGTATTGCAAGGTTGCTATGTGTTACGAGTGCAATTGAGTGAGCGAGCGAGAATTGCACTATCGAAGCAAAAGTACAAATGAGCGAAGGCATGAGCGAAGAATATATAGCGAAACTACAGTGGTAACGGTAATGTGTGGAAAATGGGGTGCGCGACGGGCCTAGCGTCGAGGTTGGGAATGCCGAGGCGGAGGTCCGGAGCGCGGGTTACCAACCGAGCCGTGAGGTTGGGTCGCGTCGTGAACAGTGGCGGGAATGGTGTCGAAGCGAGTGTCGCGAGTGGTAACGGATTACTGTTGGGTGCTGTTGGCGGGGACAGTGGTGTACGCGCTGAGTAGGGACGCGAAGTAAGGAAAAGGAATTTTCCTTACACTACCCCCCCCCCTTAAGGAGGCCCTTCCTTATGAAAGCGCGTGTACATCCTGGAAATTTCGGCTGCGCAGGTACTCTGTGAGGACGGGGTGGTTTTCTATTCTGTCCAGGGGAATCCAGTTGTCTTCGGTGGGTGTGCGGTCTTTCCAGCGGATCAGGAATTCGATCCTGCGGGCTCCCCGTAGGTCACGTACTCGGTGGCTCAGTATTTTCTCGGGCGTGATGATTGGCTCTGTTGGTGGTCGTGTCATGCTGGCGGGGCGGTTGCGAGGCAGTTGGCTGGTGGATGGTACGTATGGGCGAAGTAGGCTGACGTGGAACGACGGGCTGACGTGCCAGTCAGCAGGGAGGAGGAGGTGGGCGGTGACGGGCGTGATCATGTGGCTGATGCGAAATGGCCCGCAATATCGGGGGCGGAGTTTTGGAGTGATGGGCAGGCGGAGGTTTTGAGTGTCGAGTAATACCAGGTCGTCGGGTTGGTAAGTGACGGGGCGGCGGTGTCGGTCGGCGTTGCGCTTAGCGATGACGTTTGATTTTTTTATTGCTTCTGCTGCTCGGGTCCGTGCTGCTTGTAATATTTCTGCGAACTGTTGCGCGCGTGGGACTGGATTGTCGGGATTCGGGGTCATGGGTACTGTGGGGTCTTGTGTGTAGTTCAGGTAAAATGGTGACTGTTGAGTCGTGGCAGAGGGTGAGTTGTTGTACGCGAATTCGATGAGTGGCAGTTGCTGTTCCCATGTGGTCGGGTCGTCGCACGTGGCTCGGATGAGTTGTTCCATGGTCTGATTTTTCCGTTCTGTCTGTCCGTCGGTTTCGGGGTGGTATGATGAACTAAACTGTAGTCGCGTGCCAAACTGCTGCCACAGGTTTAGCCAGAAGTTGCTGGTGAATTTCGTGTCTCTGTCGCTGATGATCGATGCTGGTATCCCGTGCAGTCGAACGACGGTAGAGATGAAGAGGCGGGATGTTTCTTCGGATGTGATTGATTTTTTGCAGGCTGCGAAGTGTGCCATTTTCGTCAGTCGATCGACGACGACCAGGATCGCGTCATTCCCACTCGCACCGGCCGGTAACCCCGTGACGAAGTCCATCGTCACCAGCTGCCAAGCACGCTCTGGGGGTGGTATCGGCTGCAACTGTCCTGCCGGCCGCTTCCGTGATGACTTCATGATCTGGCAAGTGGGACACGATGCCACGTGTCGTTGAACGTCGGTCAACATTTCGGGCCAGTAATAATACCGTTGCAGCTGCTGCCGTGTTTTTTCTACCCCGAAATGTCCCGAGGTAACTCCGTCGTGTGCCTCCTGTAACAGTAATTCCCGTAGCAGTGTGTACCCTGGTACCCAGATGCGGTCGGTCCCGGCTTTTACGTAATAGACTCCCTTTGCTGCTACGAACTGTTGCGAATTTCCTCCTGTGAAAAATGGATCCGTTTGGTACCCGTGGGTAAATAGGCCTGTCAGTAGTGGGCTGGTCTGGGCGAGCAGTATTGCATGGATCTGGGCAGTGGGGCGGGTCAATGCGTCGGCGATGTTCGATGCCCCTTTTTTGTAGGTGACTGTGTAGTGGAAGTTTGACTCGAGGAAATCGAGCCAGCGAATCTATCGTGGGTTGAGGTGGGGCTGTGCGCGGAGATACTGTAATGATTTATGATCTATCCGTACTGTCACTTCTGCGCCGGTCAAGTAACAGCGCCAAACCTTGAATGCATGCACGATCGCGAGCATTTCGCGGTCGTGTATCGGGTAATTCTTCTCGGGCGGATGCAGTTTTCGTGACTCGTATGCGATGGGCTGTAAACCGTTGCCGAAATCCTGTAGCAGTACGGCTCCAATGGCGATGTCGCTTGCGTCTGTAACTACTTCGAATGGGCGGTATGGGTCAGCGATGCGCAGTACGGGCGGTGAGCAGAGAACATGTTTCAGGGCAGAGAAGGCAGCATGCTCTTTCTCCCCCCACGTAAAAGTGACCCCCTTCCGCAGTAAATCCGTCAGTGGGGCAGTTAACCGTGCCATATCGGGGACGAACCGACGCACATAATTAACGAACCCTAAAAAGCTCTGCAGCTCCGTGATGTTCGTCGGGGGGTGCCACGATTTTACCGTGTCCAGCTTCTTTGGGTCGATTTCAACTCCAGCCGCCGAAATAACGTGCCCCAAAAATTCTAACCTATCCTGGAAGAACTCGCACTTGGAACCTTTGGTCAGTAATCTGTGCTCGTCTAAAACCTTAAATACTGCTTCCAGATCTGCTAAGTGTTGATGCTTATCCCGACTGTAAACTAGGATGTCGTCGAGGTAAACTATCACGCATTTATCTAAGAGCGGCCTAAACGCCTCGTTCATGGTCATCTGAAAAGTCGCCGGTGCGTTGGTCAGCCCGAATGGCATCACGGTGTACTCGAATGACCCATACCTAGTTCTAAATGTTGTTTTTACGCAGTCCGATGGTTCGACCCGAATCTGGTGGTAACCTCCGCGTAAGTCAATTTTCGAAAAGACCCGTGCTGTTCGCAGTTGATCTATCAGTTCGTCGACGCGGGGAATAGGGTATCGCGACTTGACTGTTACCCTGTTCAGTGCTCTGTAGTCGGTACACATGCGAAAACCCCCGTCTTTTTTCGGTGTGAACAGTATCGGTGCGGCGAACGGTGACGAGCTCGGTCGGATGATTTTTTTCTCTAACAGGTAATCTAACTACTTCCTCAGTTCGTCGAGCTCTGGCTGTGTCAGTCGGAATTGTCGCTGTACAGCTGGTTGTGCCCCCGGTTCTAACTCTATGCGGTGTTCATGTGCCCGCTGAGGTGGCAGTCCTTCTGGTAAATCGTCCGGAAAAATCCCCGGGTACCGTTTCAACAGTTCATGTAGTTCGGGCGGTACCGCTGCCAACAATTTCTGAAAATCGCTCGGCTGCTCTGCTTTTCCTACCAATGCTATATCCACTGCGTACACGTCAGCTCCAGCGGCGACAGCCCGTTTCATCGTGATGGCGTTGACGTGGACCGTTGAAGACTCGGGTGACTGCCAGCGAGGTAGCACGACCCAGTTACCGCTACTTCGCACAGTGCAGCTACCCGTCGTCCAGTCGATTCGCGGGTTATACCGTCGCAGCCAATCATGTCCAAGTAAAATGTCGTGCCCATCCAATGTCGTCGCGAGCATTTCTTGTGTAAACCCAAAGTTCCCCCCGCAACGGACCTTTACTCTCTCCACCTTCTCCCGTATGGCCAGCGGCGTTCCGTCCACTAAGCGTGCATCTATTTCCGGTAAATACCGACTAAGTGTCAATTGCAGCTTCCGTGCGGTTGCGGTATTAACTAAGCTGTGGCTTGCTCCTCCGTCTATAAAGATCTTCACTGCTGCTCCCTGTATTTTCCCGTGAATCAGTACTGGGCAATCCGTCGCTGTACCTGTTAGAATCTAGCAGCAAGAATGAATGAACTATGACAGAGTTGGGTACAAGTATGAAACCCTAAAAGGGGCTGTACCCCATATTGGCTACCCCACTACAGCCTACACATGTATAACAAACATATGCTTTGACACACCCCCATAGGCAAAGTGGGGAGAGCAAGAGAAGCAAAGCAAGCTAGGGTGGATCACAACGTCACCACACACACTGAGCACAAGCAAAGGGCCACAAGGCCAGTTCACATGCAGGGGTATATATGCAACAAAAACAGCACAGTGATCTCTACCTAGCAGAGCAAGCATGCAGGTATATATATAGATCACAGTACAAGCAAAGTCTACAGCAAGGGAGGAAACGTGGGCATAAGGCCTAACAGAGTACAGAAACGCTGATGATCACCAGACGGAAGCGCCTTGGTGAATATATCAGCAGTGTTGGCCCGAGTGGCCACGTGAGCAAGACGAAGCTGACCACGCTGCTGCAACTCTCGAGCCAGGAAGTAACGCAGAGCGATGTGCTTCGTTCTGTGCTCCAGTCTGTGCTCCTGACACAAGGCAATGGCGGCCTTGTTGTCGACGTACAGCACTGGAGGAGAACGAGGCCGCTCTCCT